AAGTTGGCTACACTAATCAAGCTAATTAGATAAATAAATCTCTACCATACTCATAAATGTGGCATATAATTGGGTAATCCGATTTGAAACATGTAACTCCAATTAACAATTAATCAGAGTATGAAAAACAAATGAAATGTTAATGGAAACAGCATGTGTAACATCTCAATGCAATGGCCTCTATATTTTGATTTTGGTTTTTGCTCATAACTCATCCTGCCATCAAGATTAATTACACTTTTTGGCCAAATAAAGCTTTCACTCTCTTGTCGGTTGGAAGGTAAATTACATGAGATTTTCAGTRTTTATTATGATCCAGAATACCCAACAAAATGAGAGCAAACAGTGTGTGGACTTTATTACTGATGGTCATTTTTATCACATTCTTAATCATTACCAGTAATGTTCATGAAATCATTTGGCTTGCACCAAAAGCTAAAAAACAGTTCAAGTCTTTATGAATCAAATCCCAAATCTGCTCCTCAAGTAAATAATAATAACAACAAAAGCAATTCCTTGCTAGATATCCCCCCATACCTCTTCTTTTAAAGGGTTAACATTCCCCATGAAGCAAATCAGCATCTGGCTAGCAGCCAATGGGCCAGCAGACACTTTTCCTACTTCTCTAGGGGTATGGAAGCATAGGGTGAAGTGAAAATAGAAACGAAGCCAACAGGAAAATAAAAGTGGGAGCAGCAGTAGCCAAGCACTTCTGGAAACTGTCTAGAGATGGAGAACTCTAAAATCTCTGCCCAAATGACCTATTAAAATCAGGTCTTCTGAAAGTAGAGATTAGAGTAGTAACCATCTATCTGCCTGCTTCTGAAATAGGGAAACAAATGACTTCAAGACTTCCAAAAGCATACAAACCACAGTTAGAGTATGTTAAGTCTCTGATAAATATTCAATAAATATTAGCTTTGGATGTTTYTAATGCAGATGATACTGGTCTATGTCCAGCTTGGTTTCTCAGTCCTAATGTGCAAAGCTCTTTCTTTTTGACAAATGGTCACATAATTYCTCATAGTTCTTTGTTTTTCCTTTATATAAGTAAACTTGATCCATAACCTAAAGCCTAAATCTATTAATCTTGGGGGGGGGGRGGACTTTTAATAAAAATTCAGCCATGTGCCTTCTTTTTCTATTGCTTTTACATGATACTAGGTGATCTTTCCACCACAAAGGTTTCAATGATTATATAACAAGAAATATTATCCAACTTTATTTTTAATCTTTCCAATAATATTTATTGCTTCCTGCCTCATATTACTTTCTAAAAAGGTCAATTTCTGCCACATATTTATGAATTTTACTATCCTCATAATTTGACTGCACAATGTTTTAGATTCATTGTGTTCCCCACAATATAGACAGGTTTTTAAATAGCTTATTGACTTCCATGATTATAAAAAAAGTGCCACAAGTATATTGTTCAGCATCTTGAAAACACAGAAGAATAAAAGGCAAAATAAGCAATKCTTAGTCAACACTGCACCATTTTAGCCTTTTCAGTCCTTCCCTATAGATTTATTTATTTATTCGTTCATTCTGGGGATCTTGAACACAAGGTCACTGTACTACTAAGCTACATCTCCAGTCCCATTTTGAGACAGGGTCTCACTAAGTTGCTGAGGGTCTTGTTAACTGCTGAAGCTGGCCTGGAACTTGTGATCCTCCTGCCTCTGCCTTCTGAGTCACGGAGATTACAGGCATGAGCCACGACATCCAGCACCTATAGAGATTCTTTTTTTGTGGGGGGTTACCTGGGATTGAACTCAGGGGCATTCACACACTGAACCATATCCCCAGCCCAATTTTATATCTTATTTAGAGACAGGGTCTTTAATGTCTATATAATACTATATTTTCTATGATACCATAGTAACTGTTCTCCTATTATTGGATATTTAGGTTACTGCCAATACTTTTCTAAACAAGGCTATACTGAGCATCTTTGAATATTAACCTTTAAAATATTCCTCATTAGGTTTCCAGAAAAGGAATGTTAGCAGAGGTCAAAGTTAGGAGCATTATTGGGGCTCTTCATAACTTAGCCAAGGTGCTTTTCAGAAAGGTCATAATAATTGTGTGCTTCTCAAAGTATTTGAGAATGTCTACTCCATTGAACCCTTACTGAAATGGGGAATGAGAACTTGTAGAAATTATGCTAATTGGAGAGCTGGGAAAATGGTACCTTGCTATATTTTCAATTTTCTTTGATTAATGGAAAGAAAATGTTTTTATATATTTATTGGCTTTTGATTTTCTCTTCTATGAACAGTATGTTCGCCTGCTGTCACTATAATGAAATACCTGTGATAATCAATTTATAAAGAGAAATGGTTTAATTTGGCTCATAGTTTTTGAAGTTTCAGTATATGATTAGCCCCATTTTATTTGGGCCTGTGGTGAGGCAGCACATCATAGTCAGAATGCCTCGTAGAGCAAAATCATTTACATCATGRGCCTAGGAACAAAAAGAACAAGTAAGTATCTGGAACCCCACAATCTCCTTTGGAGACATGCCCCCCAAAATCTAATGGCCTCCCACTAGGCCCCACCTGTAAAAGGTTCCATTACTTCCTAATAGCACCAACCTGGGGACCAAGTCTTTAATACATGGGCCTTTGGGGGATATTCAGATCCAAACATGAGTAGTTAGTCTCTTCATTTCTTTTGCCATTTTTCTGTTGGAGTCTGTTTTAGCTTTCTACTGCTGCATAATACATTTCCACAAACTAAGTACTTCAAACAACATCCATTTATTATCTCACAGTTCCTAAAATCAGAAGTTTGGATAGGTCRGGCTGGGTTCTCTGCTAAGGGTCTCTCTTATAAATCAAGGTGTTGGCCACACTAAACTGGGCTTTTATCTAGAAACTCTGGTAAAGAATCCTGTTTCAAGCTCATTTGTGTTGTTGAAAGAAATCAGTGCCYGTGGCCTTTCTGTGGGTCCCACTTCTAAGCTGGTTGTCAGATGAGGGCCACCCCCTCAGTAATTCCAGACTTTCTAAATTCCTAAAGGCTGCCTGAATTCTTTCTCAACTATACAGTTCCATCTTTAAAACAGCAACAACATGCTAAGCTTCTCATTCTTCAAATCTCTCAGATTTCCCAGCCAGAGAAAGCCCTCCACTTGTGATTAGATTAGGCCACCTAGGAAATCTACTCATTTTATACTCAACTGTGCCATATAGCAGAATACAATCAAGGGAGTGATATCTTATATGCACAGGTTCCAAGGATTAGGGACAACAACTTTGATGGAGAGGCATTTTTAGAATTGTGCCTGCCCCAGAGTCTTAGGTGTTGTTTCATATAATTTATTTGTACTCCTTATGATGAATCCCAATTGCATGCATCCACTAAATAAATTCATCTTCCTGATGACTACTTGGAAGTTGCACTTTMACAATGGCAAAGGCAACTGTGGATGGGATACTGTGTGTCAATAAAGATCTTGAGGGCCTAACTTTGTCAACTGTGATTTTTTTTTTACTATGGTAAAATAATTATAACATGAAATTTACCACTTAAACATTTCTAAGAATATCATTCAGTTAAGTACATTCACATTGTTGTACAGTCTCCAAAACTCTTTTCATCTTGCAAAAGTGAAACTCAATACCCATTAAAGAACAACTCCCCATTCTCTCCCTCCCCCAGCCCTTGGTAATCACCATTCTACATTTCAACAGGGGTATGTATTTACTTTATATATTTATTAACAAATATGTACATAGTAATTACTATATACTAGGCCCTGTTCTAAGCACTTTAAAAAATTAACTTAATCCCCATAAAAACTCTAGTGAAGTCAGTATAGTTATTATTTCTATTTTACAGATACAAACACAGCAAAGCTAAGTAAACTGCCCAAGTTACACAAGTAGGAAGTGATCAAGCAGAAATTTAAACTGAAGTAGTCTGACTTTATATAGTTCTTGCTATGAACCATGACATCATGATAAYAGTCATTGTAAAAATAAACTCAAYAGGCATTAATATTATTTCTTGGTGCGTGATTTTAAAAGATGTCTCTATGTGCAATTTAACCTAATATTTGTCTCAAGGTGACACATGTCTATTGACCTTTTAGAGACAATATATGTAGCCTGGTCTCTGTTAAGGCATTTTCTTGAAGTTAATGAGACAAACACTACTTAGTATTTTAAGAAAACCAATTATAATTTACATGTGATGTTTTATAATAACATATCTTAAAAATACAAATCACAATACACTGTGATTATTGAAATTTTAAAATATGGGGGAAATAACTATTTCCCTTTAACTTCTTCCAATGAGAAAAAAAATAAAAAGAGGAAAAATACCTTCCAAATAAGTTTACAACCGCATGGCTCCACCTCAGTTTAACCAAGTAAATTTAAACTGATCTTACTTTGCGAGCTATATACATAAAGAGCAGTCTCAATTTGTCATCCAGTAGTATTTCTCGGTAGTAATTTATTTTATTTAAGAAGTGGGCCTGAGATTTCCCTATGTTGATTTTTTTTAGCTTAGTAATCCTTTCATAGAAGACCAGCCCATGCTTGTCATCAGTCATGTGGTGTCATTTACTATACATTTAAAATGGGCAGAGTCGTCAGAAAGAGCAATCCTTGTGTTCTCGGGGTGGCCTGGCTTGATGTGACTAAAAGCTCTGCTGAGGCTTGGTTTCCATGACCCCTGGAGAGAGGGGACCAAAAGCAACGCACAGAGCAAGACCGCCTACATCAACTACTTTCGACTCAGATATTTACCTGATTCACACCAAAAAAAAAAAAAAAATGAGCAACAGAGCATCACGTAATCTCCCTTCACTCTTYATCCATTGCCATGGAGTGCAGTCTCCGGCACGAAAAAAAAAACGGTGTGCGGAGAAGAAACAGCAACATCACCGCTACCCCGGGGAGCTGCTCGGTCTTTACCACGCTGTCATCCCCATCCCTGGCCCTCCCCGTTTCCGGTAGGCAGCACAGAAGCAAGCGGATGCTCACCGGGTGGCTCGTCTCCCTTCAGCGGCAGGGCCTTCAGCCTACTGTTGGCGGGGTCCCGGCCTGGGCAGCCCGCCCGCCGCACGGTGACAGCCGGTCCGGCCGCTGACCATCCCAGCCCGGCTCTGTTTACAAGCGGCTGCTCGCGGTCCCACTCCCAAATGCTTCCCCCGGAGGCCCGGCAGCCAGGCCCCGACACACAAGGTTCCAGGCCGCGAAGACTGACCGGGCGGGAAGCGCCCTACCGCACTCCCCGGGGCATCCTTATCTCTTTACTTTCAAATACACCGTTTGTTTGTTTGTTTGTTTTTTGTTGTTGTTTTTTTTTTATCACATACATTTTAAAAGCAGTGGCGCGTGCCGCAGAGTCTCCTCACTGCTCCTCCCAACTCCAAGATGGATGTTTGCAATTGGAAAGTGTCACTTGGAACACACCAGAACCGGGTCAGTTTTGAGGTTCAGTTCTTTCCCAAAGTAAGATTGTGTTTGGAGCTGGGATGAAAGTCAGTTTTTACTGCTCTTTCCTCTTGTTTCCAGCCTGTGGAAAGTGAGTGCTTTTGAGGGGAGGTCTTCTACCCCACAGAAGATTCCCAGGAAAACAGAAGTGTGTGTACACACTTGGGGATGGGATGGGGACAGGATGCTTCTCATAGAACCCCCTCYACTTCGCTCTAGTGACTTTGGCCCCTTGGTAGGGATATTCAGGTCTAATGGGAACAGATCTTCCTTGTGGTTTCCTGACTTATTCTCCATCACATCATACTGTTATTAATTTCTCCACTCCTCCCTAGTCTCACCTATAAATTATYCCTTGAGGGCAGGAACAGTTTGGTTTCATTCACCACCACATCCTAGGAACCTAACACAGGGACCATGTATGTATGTTTGAATGGATAGGTGAATCAATAAAGGATGCAAAAAGAAATCATCAGAGGGGTCAGAGAAAGTGACATCATAGAAATTTAAAAATTTGATTCCAACCCCTCTTCCCAAAGATTGATAAGCAAATCTTTAACTGTTGAGGTTTTTTTTAATCTCATTTAATTGGTGTTCAGAATTTAAATAAACTCTTTACCAAACCATGCACTTTGAGGTACAGTTTGCTGTTGTTACCTGAACTTGYAGTATTCTCTTTTGCTTCAAGACTGTGTACATGTGGATCCCACTGATGAGATTCCCCACCCTCCTAGCCTGGCTAACATCTCCTTGCTCTTTTAGAAGTATAAAACATCACACCTTTCCTGAAAACCTTCCCTGACATGGAATTTACTACTTTTGTGCACTTCTAGAGGAAATCACACATTCCTCTGTAAATACACTCATCACACTGTGCTGTAATCATCTCTACATTCATTAGCCTTTGGTTAGATGAGTGATTCTCAAAATTTAGTGTAACAGAATTTTCTAGAATGATGCTTCTCAGACTTTAAGCTTTGAGGAGCCTCTTAAAATGCATATTCTGATTCAGTATATCTGAGTTGGGATCTCAGCACCTCTAGTGAACTTCTAGGTGATGCCACATTTTGAGTGTCAAAATTCCTAAGTCATATACCTGCAGATAATTATTTTGAAGGTCTACCTGCAATATGATCCTGAATTATGTGATTTTTTTAAACAAGTACCAAGTACTTATAATGTAGGTCATTCATGGACCACACTTTGATGGGTCTGTGCACCATGCATTAAAGCACAACATTTGGCAAGTAAAATGCATTAAAGAAGCCATATTTGCAAAATCACTAACTTTACTTACTATCATTAATGTAGATCTTCAGCATCAGAGTTAAGTGGTGATCTCTGGAGAAAAGATGAAGACCCAGAATAATCTCAGCTGGGCAGCTGCTGACTGGTGGGTCTGTTTGTCAACTGGAGACATTTTACATTTCTGTGTTAAAAATAGTTAAGTTCTTGACTTCATTCAAAAGGCTGTCTGTTGACAGCAGCACCACCATTTTTTAATAGATTATTTTTAGATTCATAGAAAAACTAAGCAGAAAGTACAGAGTTCCCATATACTCTTGCCACCACATATGCACAAACTCCCAGATCATCTTCTGTACCACAGTGGTATATTTGTTAGAATCCATGAACCTACATGAACACATCATTATCACCTAAAGTCTATAGTTTATATCAAGACCACCATCTTTTTCAAATTCAGAATAATTTCAACACAGAATGGAAACTCAAAAGATGATCTACTCCAACCATGATCCAAGGCCACTTTCTTACTCCAAAGAATTTGATGACCTTATTATTGCCAGAAGGAGTTCATATTCCAGAGCCTAAGGCTCCACATTTCAGGATCTCTACCTCATTGGCATCCTACATGTTGGAGATATGACTTTGTTTTTCTCTACTCAGCGCTCCCACTTCCTTTGGAAAACTGCCTCTACCTCTAAATTTCAGGATAAGCATGTCATCAATGCTAGGCACATCCTACTACCTATGGTACCCTGGTCTCCATGGTTGCTTCAAGRACAGGCACATAACCCAGGCAATCAATCATCATATATTGGAATTTTTCTGCTTGAAATTATGGAAAGTGATTTGTGTATTGGGTCATAGGTTAGAAAGGACATGCATTGACGGCTTCCAATAGTCATCTTTCCTAGAACATCTCCAAAGCTTTCTATAGAAGAAGGGGTGAAAAATTTATATGAGAGGAGTGGGAAGGTGGAGGAAAGAGAGYGTAAGAGCTAATAACCTTATTTGAATTTCATGATCTCCTCAGGCCTGAAGYCAACTCCACCTTCTAGACCTCACAATTACATCACAGTTAAGTCTGCATTTGCTCAAGGTAATTTGAATTGCTTTCTGTCATTTACAKCTGGAAGTGTCTTGGTTGACACTCCACCTTTCCTGACTTACCTTCCACATACTCCCTCCTTCCCGGTCTACACTTCAGACACAATTTTTTTTTTTAAACAACTCCTGGACATACTTCATTTCTTATTATCCTGCTTCAGATTCCCCTGTTTATGTTTCAGATTTATTGAGGTTTCAGATTTATTAACAAAGAGTTTCATCCATTATACCTCCTTCTGTTATCACCTAAAAGGCAGATATATTAACATATTTATATTTTCATGTACCATGACACTTATCATAGTCTAGCAAATGATCACAACAAATACTTGCTAAAATGAAACCAAATGGCAGGTAAGGAGATGCCATTATTCTATTCATTTGTTAGAATTTTTTTTCCTTTTAGTTTTCATTTACTAAAGTAATGCTCAAGCCAGAATTCAATAAAGCAATGCTGTCTTTCAAGAAATAAAAGCAAGTGGGGTGTAGTGATGCATGATGCAGTAATTGCAACGACTTAAAGGCTGAAACAGGGGGATCACAAGTTCAAGGCCAACCTCAGCAACTTATCAAGACCCTGTCTCAAAATAAAAAATAAAAGGGAGCTGGGGATGTAGCTCAATGGTAAAAGGCCCCTGGGTTAGATCCCCAGTACCAAAACCAACCAACAAACAAAATATACTGCTGAGGGCCATTACCAAGTAGGTATGACGCATCAAAATCTCCTTGCCAGCGTGAACACCCTAAACCCAAGGACCGGGATACTTCCTCAAACCTGCAGGATACTTCCTCAAACCTGGATCCACCCTCGATCACCTTGAGCAGGGTCATCTTACTAAAGGGTACATGCAATGTCCCATCGAATGTCCTAAGCAGCATGGGGTACGCTGGCAAGGAGATTTTGATGCGTCATACCTACTTGGTAATGGCCCTCAGCAATATACCTCATCTATTCCCCCAAATATGCCCAAAGACAATTAGGATATTCATTAAGAGCAATATGACAATTAATTTCTAACCTTAGATAAATTGAAACTAGTTGAGATGAAAAATTTAAAGTCGCAAATGGAATTACTCCCTGAAAAATTTAATGTGCCTGCCATTCAGTGGACAGACCCCTGCAAGGCCACGCCCATTGTTAAAATATTGAAACTGCTCCCTACAAGTTAGTAACTAGATTCTTTCTCTAAGCTTTCTAGATATCTAAGATTTATTTCCAAGGAAACTTCCACATCCAACACCTAAAGATTAATTCCTAACCTTCTTTGGCTGGAATGGTGAGACTCACCAAGAGCCAGCTCTTGAACTATAGCCAAGACTCTTTCTGATAAGTCAATGGCCAGGCCATACATTTTTCATAATCTTTGGATGATCAATCCTACAAGTAGATTAACAAAAATACGATGGGAGATTGAGGATCCAACATGGCGGCRAGCGCGGAGAGATCAAGTCTCTGACCTCTTCAGCTGCGCGGGCATAGGGAGTCATAAACCATCTAAATGCTGTTTGCTCAGGATCACTAGGCAATGCTGAGCTGACGTGGATCTGGGGCGAACAGTCTGGGCCTCTCAGAACACACACCGAGCCCAGATCGGCTGAATTCAAGCTCCTGTTAGCCTGCCTCTCGCAGACAAACTGCTGTGACTCAGCACTAAAGGATCCCGCTGAAACAACTGGTCGGCCCTTCTGAACCTACAAAGGTAAATGCCAACTGAGCCTTCATAGGCAGTGGCCACAGGATTGAAACGGGGYTTGGGAGAGCCAATCAGGACCCACCCATTGCATTGGTCACCCTGCAAAGGGAAACGAACTGTCGCCATTTGCATGAGATACCACCATGGCAGAGAACTGATGTCACCAGAAGGCTAGGGTGGGTAACCCCCTAGCCTTCCATCTCCACACAGCAGGGAAACCTTAAGGGCCCCTCCCAGCTCTCCCAAGCGCGATAGTGAGACCGAGGGAATCAGGAGTGGCGCGGGACCCTTGATGCGGAACTCCCGGCTACCGCTCCCACCAGTGCTGACAACTGAGATCTCTTGCACCAGCTACCAGGGGCATGGCTACCAGAGGGCAAGCAAAATTCGCTGAGGATTCTCAGCCTCAAGCTCTACAAACATAGGGTCTGAGGGAATGGCAAACAGGGAGAGTGTGTCCACTCATTCATGAAAACAGGGCTCCTGGGAGCAGCAGACCTGGCATGTAGCCAGTATTGTGGTGAGCGTCACCGGTGAGTGGGGCCTGGCTTGAGGAAAAGTGGGGAAGTGACTAGACACAAGTGGAGGCCCTAGGCACTCAG